CTTGAGCGCTCGGCGGCAGAGTGGGGTCGCTTTGCGCATCGTGCACTTATGGCAAAATAAAATGCACACCCTTTATTATTATTTATTTTTTCTTAATTAGAATAGAATAAATATAGATATAGATCAAAACCATAAGACGTTACGTAGTAAAGTTACTACGTAACTTCTGATTGATTCTATGGTAAGGGATAATGGCTGTAATTAAAATTTTAATATAAAAGCGTAAGTATTAATGTGATTTAAAAAACATTTCCCTTATAAAATTATTTTATATACATCTATACCGCCTGCCGCTTATGTTTTCACGAACAATTAATGTTATCGTGTGCTTGCGCTTCGTAATGTAACGAGTCCTGCTAATTTTATTTTGAAAAGTGCATTGAGTTAAAACAACACTAGAGAAGCAAACCTCATTATCACACGTCGAAAAAAGTGTAAACACTTTTGAATTTTGACGACGTAGCTTTGATACCACTAAACATTTGAAAGTAAACATTTATGTCTCATTTACACGCGAGACAAGAACAATACCATCGCTCGGATTAGACAAAGACAAAGACATAACTTTACGATGGTGGGCCAGTGTTGACTACCGTATGAAATTTTACCCATAACAACCAAGAAACAATTTTTTTTTAAACAATTTTGTAATAAAATAAATTAATTTAAATATTTTAAATAATATATTTCGAATTGAATGGAATAGGTATAAATAATAAAATAACTGGAAATATTTGGTTAAAAGGGTTTATATTCGGTGTAAAATCAAACTCCGCTTTGAAGCATCAGTTTTGTATACAATTGTCTTTTAGACTCTTTTTTATAAGTTTGTGTGGAAATTTTACTTTCATGATACAATCTTATTTTTACGTATGTATAAATAATGACATTTAATAATAAAAGTGAATGATCAACTTGTACTGATAATAATTAATCCCCAGGGTGTATTGCAAATTCTTTTAATATTTTAAAATACAAATAAATATATATATATATATATATATGTTTATTTTTTTATTTAATTTTTTTTATATTTTATTTTTTTTTATTTATTTACTTTTTTTTTTTTTATAATATTTTTTTTTGTACAATTATTATTTAAAATTGATAATTAATTAAGAAAAACAATGAATTAATTCTTTTGTACAAAAGTCTCCAGCACTGCGAGCTTGGCAGAAGGTGAACGTTCAACGGGTCCCTAAAAAAAGTGATCGGTTCAGCCCTAACAACTACCGTTCTTCCTATATTTTATTATTATTGGCAAAATGTTTAAAAACGGTATAAAGCATATTATTTCATAAATTATAAATTCTCCCACTAATGTGGGAAAACCAAAATGATTTTTTAATGGTAACACTGATTCTAAATTACAATTATCAATGTTTTATTTCAATTATAGCCTTATTTACGATATTATTAATACAAAAACCATAAACTTACACGTGAAAAGTAATTCCGCATGATTTATTATGGTTTTGTGACCTTGAATCGCATTCTTTCACTACGCATTTATCCATTTTGGCGATTGCTACTGTCATGGTGTCGCTATGTTCAACTCGGTTGACGTCACATTGAACACTGAATTGACGTTTGCTACGCATATGGCTGTGGATAGATGTGCAGTAGCAACGATTTTAGGCGGTAATTACTCATCTATGTAAGTTTTATATCAATGGAAAAGTGACAATATTCTGTGTGTAGTGTAGTGTGAAACAGTGACTCAGTCTTTTAATTTTATTGGGTTATCGGTATCAACATCCATAATGCCGTGAGTGACCTTTACAGCCCCGGAATATCCTGCCATGATGTTTATTTATAGGAAACTCTATCAAAACGCATCTTTTGCTTTACGGACAGGTATGGAGTCAATCGTGTATGTCCTACAGACCGCCGAGGGGTGGTACAAAGATTCCGAGACAAGCAAATTACCTACTTTTTCAAGGAGTGACACGTACTGCCGGGTCCGAAGCTAGTCGAGCATTCCCAAAATAAACACGTGAATAAAATCGTATTCTTAATAAATAGATTTAAAAAAGCAAGTAAAGTGATTAGTAAGTAGGTAATAAGAATGTAAAGTTCGCCGGCTCGTTGCGGCGGAGGCGGCGGCGTCGCTTTGAGGTCGCCGACATTGCGACGCTGTGTGTGTAGAGTACACCGTCTCATGTTATCAATGGTGTTCTAATTCGGAAATTATTATATTGTATTTAGTTTGTTCTAAATTTGCATTTATGTATTTTCGTACATTTTTTTTTATTTTGTATTTTAACCGACGTGTATTGAACCGTGTATTCTGTTATTTCATTTTTTGTGATATGTATAATAACACCCGTTATAAATTATAAATAGGAGTTTCACGAGGACTCGATGCCGATGCGAGTGCCTCCAACTATGAGGCTAGATCCCTCAAGTGGCTTCCTCCGAAGCCCATGGAAGAACAAGGCCTCGGATTTGTGCAGAGCCATTTCGAGACCCAGCCGCCGGATTCGCTCAACGACTTGGGCAACCCTGGTCGTGGCCCTCAGGTTTGCCTCACGGTGCGTCTTGTCGTGCGCCGTCACGAGTGTGTCGTCCGCGTAGCACGTGACGGCGACACCACCCTAGAAGGCACCACGAAGCACCCAGTAGTAGCCGATGTTCCACAAGAGTGGAACATCGGCTACTACTGGGTTCTGGTACTAGTTCCACACCGACCCTGCGGAACACCGCACGACATTTCACGTCTACCGAGACCGGTTCTACTTGGGTGGACGACGGCTCTCTCCGACAGATATGCAGATATGCGACAGATATGATATGATAGAGAGGCACGGCTAGGCAGGCAAGGCTTCGTGATACACGAGCGCCTCCCTGATGCAACTCCAGGGCTAAGTGTTGAACGCGTTGGCGATGTCCAAGGACACCGCCAGCACCACTTCATCCCGGGAAACTGCTTCCTCTGTCAGAGCCTTCACGCGCATGATCGCATCCACGGTGGAGCGCCACTGACGGAGACCGTACTGGTTGTCCGCCAGATCCGGCCCCACCATGACGAGATGCTTGAAGGAGTTTCACCCTAATAATTTTATGAGCAAAATAGGTTATTAAGGTGAAATAGGAGTAGTGCCACCATTGCGATGGCCGACCCGTGGACACAGCGCTCCACACGCTGGCAGAATGCCCGGCGTGGGTGGAGCAGAGGCGTGGCCTCGTGGCGGGAGTTCTTGTCTCGGTGTGCGTTACCCCAACAAAATAATGTCGAAAATGGTTATTTAAACGTTATAGATAATTAGTTGCTCCCCTTCTGAAGAAAATACAAATACCAAATAAGTTGTAACATTTACCTAGTCCAGATAACTAATTATTTAGGTAAAATTATTTCAATATTACAATTAAAAAAGAAAATGTCTGGCTGCGGTAACGTTTCAAACGTTACCCCAGCAGGAAATGTTTTTTTGAAATATCTAAAAAAGTTTAAGTGAAACAAATTTAAAAATGTGCCTAACAATTACAGAAGGTGAGCAACTAATTATCTATAAAGTTTAAATGACCATTTTCGACATTATTTTGCTGGGGTAACGCACACCTTGTCTCGGTCAGTAACATGATTGCGGTCATGGGGAGCGAGAGTGCGTGGAACTCCGACGGACCTTTTATATAAATAATTATCTCAGCTTCTATTGGTCGTAGAGAACCTTTGTTTTGTAAATAAAAAAAAATCGCATGGAAAACTTCCCAGTAATTGCATTAAAACTGACCTTGTTATTCCATTCTGCAACGAAGCACTTATTTGCAACTTATTTTGCAAGGCCCCCCCCCCCCCCCCCCCCCCCCCCCCCCCCCCCCCCCCCCTTATAGAAAATTGATTAGTCGATAATGAACCTAAATACAACATTGTACTTCCCAAAGCTGTAATAATTAACCTACCTACCAGTTACCTTTTTAATAAATAAATGGCTCAGTTGCAAAAACTATGCACAGACTACGCCAAAAAAAAAACACGTTTACTACACATCATAGCCTACGATTTACTGAAGTTTGATTGGGTTTGTGTGCGTTACCCCAGCAAAATAATGTCGAAAATGGTCATTTAAACGTTATAGATAATTAGTCGCTCCCCTTCTGTAATTGTTAGGCACATTTTTCAATTTGTTTCACTTAATTTTTTTTAGTTATTTCAAAAAACATTTCCTGCTGCAGACATTTTCTTTTTTAATTGTAATATTGAAATAAATGTTAGCTAAATAATTAGTTATCTGGACTAGGTAAATGTTACAACTTATTTGGTATTTGTATTTTCTTCGGCTGCGAAGTTATTCGAGATCCTGCTGGAGTAACGTTTGTGGGATCTCTGAAACGGGTAAGCGGATTGTAACCATCTTTTGTACATAACTTCTTAAGGATTAGTTTTAATTTGTTCGACAATAAAATTTTCTGGTACTGGTACTTTCATTTATAATTATTTATTTTAAAAATACTCAAAAACACGTATCTTAATTTTTTTTGCATGTTAGAAAAAACAAAATAACCATTTGGAACGCACTATCTCATTTTGTAGATAATTTATACAACTTTCTCATAATACATTTCTTCGTAAAATGTCGCGAAAAATTTATAATGTCGAAAACTACGTTTTTGCAACTTAGTTATACTATCATGATGTACCGAGAGGAAATATCTCGGTTGGTATTTTTTTTTTGAGAAAACCCTAGGTCCCTTTTCTAGGTCTATATGGCAAAGTTGTACACTCCACTAAGAATAATTATTTTAATAAAATTAAAAGACCTTAAAGTAGAGCAAAAAAAATAAAACAGCTTTTAAATCATTAAATTTATTGACCATTTAAATCAATGTTACGAATTTGTAGTCAAATATACCTAAGAATGATTCTTAAGTGACAAATTAGGTATTTTATTTTACATTCGTTTATGAGTGGACTACTTATTAATTATACCTAAACTTAAAGCGATGAAATCATCGACATAAAAAGAACTCGATAAAATATAAGTAGTTCAAATAGTTTATTAATTCGATTTTTTTGAATCTTTTGATGCCGAACGTGATCTTGAACGCGACATGGATCGTGCCTTGGAGCGGGAGCGAGAACGGCTGCGGCTTCGGGAGCGAGAGCCGGAGCGCGGCGAGCGGGAACGGCTGCGGCGGCGGGACCTCGACCGGCTGTCGAATTAATACCAATTTGCATTGAGGTTGTTACAACAATACTGCCTTGTGTTTAATCTAATTTGGCATTTAATTAAAATCTCAATATTTATTATTATTACTTAAGTTGAATAAAAAATTATAACATTTTGTTGTTTTGTTCTAGCCTGAAAGGAACTAATAATATGCCAAAGTAGATTATCTACAATACTACAAACACATGTTAATAAACAGGATAAAATAATCTTCCTTTGTTATGATCAATTCTGTTTATTAGCCATAGTGTAGGTAATGTTAATTATGCTAAAGTACCCGTTTCTAGCACTACTTTAGTACAATTAAATGTATTACAAAAGAAAATAACATTGGGTTATTAACTTGTGTAATGGGTTATCATTTTACACCTGTAAAATAGTCACTTTGCCGTCAATACGTGTCTTGTGTTCATTTTAAAAAATGAGGGCCGGCTTTTCTCAATCATAACTGAATCTTTTGGTAATATTACCTTGATAAAGAAATAACTTTAGGTAAAGCACTGGCCTTCTTTGAACACAAAAGTGGGATAATAATGTGTAACTCACTGAGTGCGCGCAGTGATTACATTGAACGTGCGTTGCGACGCGTAGAACGAACATTACTCTCAATGAAGTACTCGACAAGTGAAGTGTGCACGTAGGCTGTAGCTACGTAGTTCGCAGAGCGAAGTTACCGAAGCGACCAACTCAATCGGCGTACACGCCGCGAAGTGAAAGCTACGTAGCGCAGACAATAAGAAGTGCAGACACTGAAGAGTTCGTTCTCGGCGCACAGGCCAATGATAACCTATAACATAGTTATCATTGGTATAAGTGAGTCCAGGACAATGGTATGGAATCTTCGCAATATACTGCTGTATATTGTTACGCTATTATACATCACTGAAGGAAATTCGTATCATAGTACCGTTCATCTTTTGATTACCTTGCAGATTCTATGCCACTGTTACTTGCCGCAATAATAGCCTATTAGAATTAAAATTAGTCTTTACCTGCGACGACGACGGCGTGTACAATCGCGAGCATAGTGTCCTCGATCTCCACAATCGTAACAGCGATCATCATAAGGGCGTGGCGGCAAGCGAGAACGTGGTGGCGGCCCACGTCCACCACTTCCTCGACCTCCATTAGACATTTCGACACGAGCACGACGTCCACAAATAGTCCGTCCATCTAAGCCACGTACCTACAACAAGCATTAACACATGTTAGAAGTGAAAATCGACAGTTCTTGTTATGAGGCTAAATTATTTATATATAATAACTGCAATTTACAAAACCCATTTGAGGGTAGATTTTTGGTGGCATTTAAGTAATACACACTTGACTAACTTTGATTGTTATGTACGGATTATTCACTACTTAAGCTACTCCACATGGATTTATATGCATTATATTTGAAGAGCAGTAGAAAAACTCTTTGAAATCCATGTATTTTTTTCGCCCACCCAAGTATGAAACTGTAGTCAAGTCATGGAGTTTCTCAAAATGTTTTTGAGTTCCATGAGTGACTTATCAAGTCTATCGGATTTCTGTAACTGATCAGTTCAAAACCAAAATGGTTCTTTTATATAAAGACCACCCGGGATGCTTACGTTGTGTAGACTTGCATCTAGCAGACTAGAAAGCACATTACTTTATATTCTGCACCCATATGCTAGCCTGTCTTATCTATTTTACAAGATAGCTCTTCCTCTCTTTTAACAATTTTTTCATAAAGAACTCCAAGCATATTTATTGTATTGTTTAATTTCCTAAGCCTCTTATCTTATCTATTATATTTATGTAATTCACAAAGATTCAATCTTACTATATTTTATGACTACATATTATGTAACTTCTTTTTTTGAGAAAAACAAAATGGGCATTTTTATAAAGAAAATATCTATCTTTTACAGTTTTTATATCTTATCCTCAATTTCCATTTTATTACTATTGTCAAAATCAATTCCATTTTATTATTAATGACATTCAGTTTTCTAAACATGTGGAAAGCTACTAGAATACTCTGTTCATACAGCAATAGAGAGCTGAAACAAGTTTATAACAAAAAGCTAACAATGAGTGATTCTGACAATATTGTATCACAGTTTGTCTCTTACGGGGGGGTGAATATGCCAGCCCTGGGAAGCCATTCTTCTTTGATTAAACAAGTATTAATATTTTGTGTATTCTAAATTGGAACAATTGGACCAATTTAAGATAAAATGATCCAATCCACCCACACAAACCTCATTCTGAGATAATTGACTTTTTTTTTGGTGGTTTTGTGTTGTAATTCTATGTGTACTAAACTAATTTACATGCATGTTATGTAGTGAATAAATTGTAATAGTTTGGTCATTATTTGGGCAAATATGCACTTGATCTTTATTGTAAAATAAGTTTTTTATAGAATGAGCTACTTATTATGTGAAAAGAAAAATGTTCTAAAGTATAACCAGTAGTAAAAAGTAAAAAAATTAATATGAAAACTCAGAAATGTTCATTATTCTTGTTTTAATTGCAAAAAGAACAAAAGTTACCCTACTCCTCATCCAAATCAAAGCTTAAGCTTCTACATCATTCATTGCATTGGTTCCCTTCATGTTTTTAAGTAATCAATGCAATCATTTCGTTTAAGATGGAATAGTGATTTCAAATCATTTAACTTGTTTTTGTTAATCAGTTTTCCTGACAGCCATAATTCTTGCAAATTGTGTATAACTCCTCATGTGCGGCTACACTGTACAGCGCTTACCGGTGAAGGCACTTTACATTGTAGCAGGGTATAGTAGCTATAAGGTTAATATTTCATTAAAGTTTTCGGTATAAAAGTAATATTCTATTTACTTTATCACCAAGATGATAATGATAATTGTATTTGATTAGTCTAATAACACTTGTGTTACTATGTAAGAAACTATGAATCACTTTTTTTCTATGAATTAAATATTTCGTATTTCTATACTTCAATAGATACATGTGGCCTGAATCAATACAGTTTTGTCATGAAATGTTTTTTAGCAGAATGATTTTAATAGATATTCCATATTTTTTGTTTTTAGAAAAGTTTGAATCATTTTAGCAAAAAAAGTGGGTACCTACATGTCAGGTCAACCACAAAAATTCAAATGTGCTTGTAATAGCATTAAACACTTATCCACCGCCTTTTTAGAAAACGGTCTTTGACACGAACGCTATACCTTGGATCATACAGTTTGTCGTTAATTATTAACAGGATGTCTTTGATATGTCAAAATTTTCGAGGGATTGGATCATTTTTGCATAAATCGGTCAAATTACTGTACCGTACACATAGCACAGTACCAAGATCATAAATTTTAATATATTTGAATATTGCAGGCATATCTAGAAAATTACACGCTTGCATATAATATGCATATATACTTTAAAATTTTATGTAAACCAATGAGACAAATAACTATGCTTGTCAATAAATATTACTTACAGCGTCTTCAGCATCACGGGGATCTTCAAACTCCACAAACGCGAAGCCGGGTGGGTTTCTTGCTACCCAGACATTCCGTAATGGTCCGTAATACGAAAATGCATCTTCAAGTTCAGGTTTACTTGCGTTATTACCCAAATCTCCCACATACAACTTGCAGTCACCGTGCCGTGACATTTCTGTCTGGAAATTATAATCAATGACAGTAATGTACGAGGTGCAGCATTACAAAGCAGTTAAAGCACCATGATGCTCTATCATGGTTATAAGTTATGGAAAATTATGCACTCAATATATTTTATAATGTTATTCTTAATGCTTACCAAATTTCGGCAAACCGTTCACTACCAACAGCAAATGTATTTTTACTCTTCGATGACGAACCGGACAAACTCACACAATCTAGAACAATACAATATGGCGATAGGCGCCGAGCGTCGGGGCGACGCTAGCTAGGCTTGGCAAAAATATCGATACATCGATAAATTTCTTTTATTAGAAATATTAATCGCCTATTGTAATCGATTTATAAAATTACGTTTTGCGTGTCCTTTTCGCATGTGTTTACCTTTAAATATCCCGTAATAAAGTTACAAATATCAAATAAAACAAGTATTTAAAACTTAATTTAACTCAGTTATTTAACTTTCATTCTATGTTGGTGGTCACTACTAAATAATTCATTTTCGAAATTGAATAAAATACCTAAACTAATTGTGTAACTTAAGACCATTGATATTTTTGTTAAAATTTCATCTTAAAAACTTGCAATAACTTTTTTTATAATGATGTAATGCATTGGTAACAAAATTATGGTTTTGAAATTTGGTAGGAATGCAATATGCAACTTTCCCTTTCTCTATCGATAACTTGATAAAATAAAGAGAAAATCGCTAAATTTTTTTTTTTTTAAATAGCCCATCTCCCTACCTTCTTTTTTTTTCCGTGCCGAAATCCCCTCGGATACCACCTGTCGGTGGCATGTCGGACTCGAACCAACTAAAACCGCACGCCGTCTCGGGTACTAATAGCCGGGGAACCAGGTATACCCTAGTAAGAAAGTGGCCTGGCGGGCCGGGAGTCCTAAACCTCTCCCGGTCCCGCTCCACCGTCTCCTTCGCGAGCATAACTACATTGAGCGAGACTATCGAGCGAGAGAACTCCCACTCCGTTGGCCGCCACGAGGTCTCGCCTCTGCTCAACCCACGCCGGGCACTCTGCCAGCGTGTGGAGAGCCGTGTCCACGGTCGGGCCATCGCAGTGGGGGCACTCAGGCGCCCATCTTCCTACCCTAACCCTAATTTCTGAGTGTGACCAAGTTATTAAGATTGTGCGAGAAGTATTTTTTATTTTCAATTCTACTAAATCTCACCTCCTAAAAATGTACCATTATTTGCACTAAAATAGTACATAATAATAATAATTATATTATACATGTAAATTATGAGAATGTTTCGATTTCATTTCGATTTCTGTTGCCGCCTCCCTAAAAATGCCGCCCGTGTGCTGTGCAAGCTCTGCATTCCCGCGCCCAGCGCGTCGGCGTGTCGGCGGACTACACACTAAAGTTTTATATAGAGCGACTATGGTATTAATGTTGGTAAAAGATTCAACAGTGCGCAGTACAAAACCTAGAGTCCTGTATCATTTTTTACAGCACTTGACTATGTGGTCAAGAAACGTTAGCTCTGTGTTAAGATTTATACCTACATCCTTAACACCCTTACCATTGAGACCCCTTCAACATTATAACAATGTAAGATGGGATGGTGCACGAGAAAAAGTGATTGTGATTTTTTGGAGTTCAATTGCGATTATCTATGTCCTGCTGTAGACGTCTACAATCATCCTCATCGTTCATAGTGAGAGAGCTTAAGATCATCTGCAAAACAACAATTTGCGTATTTTACTCTCTTAAGCAGATCGTTTATCCACATACATATGTGGATGGCTACACTTTTCAAAATAAGTACCATTCAAACTCGACGCCGGATACAATAAATAAAAATTGTCGGTCAATTACTTTTATTGCACTGTGATTACAAACACTCACTATTACAAAGAAGAAATCACTGTAAACTCGTTAGTCGCACTAAAAATTCGTTTCGATGTTAATTCGCTGTGTCGTAAAGCGATACTGTCTCGTACGGCTAACACGCTCCGCTTTTATAGCGCTATCGAATTTACTAGAATGATCCCTAGTATTCGATAGTCCGTTCCAGACAAAATAAGAATATTCCACTATCAGTTAAGCGTTATTAATCACAATCTCAATAGTTGTACTTTGCGTGATACTAGATGGCGCTGTCCTCCACATTCCATTCAATTCTTAAACAATTCGAACTATATAATCCTACGGCGCAATAGTATTATATTATATTTCTAACATCGCAATGTGAACTCAAGATGCAACTTAAAGTAAAAACTCTCACGCCGCACAATACAATCGAACTACATGCCACCTGACATTGAGCATTTTTAACAATATAAATCCTGTTCTTTTTGAGTTTAGCTCGATGCGATAATAAAAACAACAAGCTGCATGAATATTAAACTTACTATTAAATAACTCCATGCTGCTTTTTCTTTTTCGAAAAGTTAAATGCTAGGTTATAGGGTTGCTAGAATCTCAAGGCAAATATGGCAAGGAAAGAGCAGGATTAGATTAAACAAACTAGACGCTCATTCTTATTTATGTTCCCGCGGCTCCATGCGCGTTTTAATTATAGGTATATGTAATAAAAGCCGCCGGCAATAGCTAGCAAATGATAAGATTGGGTATAAACTTGCACTCGACTAATTAAAATACGCATAATAAAAGAAATGTGGGTTTTAAAAACTTTAATAGTTACAAGTTGAAGCAAGTATATCATACGAGGGCTGCTATTTATGTATCCGGAGTATAACAAAGTGAAACAAACATATTTATTATTTATAATATTTTTATTGCTTTTCAAAATATTCGCCATGATGATTGCTGCACTTTTGCATTCGTTGTAACCAATTTTTGCAGCGCCGGGTCCTTATTGCAGTCATCGACGGGGGGCCCCTCGCTACCGGCCGTCATACGCTCCATGGCCGGTAGTGACAGATGTATTACCGCGGTCGCATCCTTTTGCGAAGACGTCATACCAGAAGGAGGCAGCGGAGAGAGCCCGGGAGGACAACCTCCACTCGGACTCAATTCGTCGCCGGCGTACTGGGTGGCGTAGGCGCGCTTATCACCGCCTCATGTCGCCCTGAGTGTGGCCGCGGGTGGACGAGGTGGGGTGACGGCCCGAGGGGGTTTCCACGCGTTAAAAAAAAAGGCCTGTATGGTGGATGACCTGTTAAATCGATCTTTTGATCTTCCAAATACTGAGTTGTTTCGGCCGATGTGTGGCAGCTAGTACTGTCGTGATTAAGAAGAATTCTGCGTTGTCGGTTATTTTTTCTTATTTATTCAAAGACTTCTGGCAAACAAATGGTACCATTCAGAATTAACCGTTTTACGATCCTTTAGATGCACTTAGACACATGCCTATTTAAACCAAAAAAAAACAAGCGACAAATTTGCTTGAAAGTGCTTTTTGAACGAATGACTTTTGTTGGGTTCGGCTAATCTTGGAACCGTTGATTGTTGTTTAGTTTGGAACCTGTATAAATATACTACTTTTGTAACATTTTTTTACACCAATCGACAGGAGCCCGTTTTTTGGTTAATTCTCAAGTTAAGAAAAAGCTTTTTTTTACAACTAAATGTTCGTGTAATATTTTATATATACCCGTCATACTTATTCCCAGAGACGCCTCTATGTCGCGATATGTAACATGACGATCTTGCATTATTAGTTCCCGCACAGCATCAATATTTTGAGGTACAATAACCGCTTTAGGACGATTACTTTAAATTCGTCCGTGAGCACAGACCGCCCTCGATTAAACTCACTAAACCAGTGATACACAGTTGTTTTTGATAGTGCGTCGTCCCCAAAAGTCGAAGTCAGTTGATCGATGCAGCCTTAAATCTCCGCGTTCGTTGATTTTGAAACGCTAAGTTAAGTTTTTTAGAAGTACAACAATGATACTTCCTACTAAAATATTAGTTATTCTTATAAAAAGTTGGTATTATGTCAGTGCTAAATGAGCCACCAGTGGGTCGCGACCCATACTTAGGGAACTTCTGTACTAGAGTTTTCTCTAAAAGTAATCCGATATATAGACGCGACGTGACCATTGGCGTCACATTATGTTTCGACTTTCGAATTTCTGGGTATATATTTTAATATATTTTCTGGGTTTAAATAATAACTAAAAAAAGAAATACCGTTGAAGTATAATGTAAAGACAATAAAGAATCTCGAAAAAAAAAAATTAAGACAAATTTAAATTTTATGCAAATTCCCTGTTGGTTAACACCGGTTTTCTGTGAGGACGTGGCATCACCCCGTCCGGTGAAACTGGTCTTTATGTGGCGTGGCGGCTCTACCACGGTTAAACATTAAAAAATATTATCTACTACAAAATATCAATACAGTCTTATCTTCTGACCATAGAGATCTTAATATGTAAATACTGATACTTACATTAGATAGACATACTAATCGATTGCTAGGATTTGATTGAACTAACTCGTACAAGCAGGACGCATTTTTCTTCACCCGTATTGAAGAAGTTTCGATTTCTATTTCATTTATTTACTAATGGCCTCGTTCAATAGTTTATTTTGACTTTGAGTGGCTTTATATTTATTGCACTGTTAGAATTTTGAGCGCAAATAAAATACGCTGTGGCAATTTAGGGTGAATTTTCAACTTTAATTTCGATTTCTTGTTGTTGGTATTGTAAATAGTCTATGAACTAGACAAAATGTAAATGCACAAAGCGATTGGTATGGTAACATTGAAAAAAAAAGTAAAAGCAATGTAGCGGACGGACGTCGTTGCGACTTTTCTTTCCGTCATGCAATAATTTTTGTCACTCATGAATTCGTTGGTTTTATATATTTTAGATGGTGTCACTTACGTGAGCGATAGTTCAAGTACAGTAGTAACGATGTGTTAGTATTTCATTTCACATAGTTCGTCTTCATAGTTATATATGATAGGTGTGTGACAAGTTCGGTAATGGTGGCCATGTCATGAAAATCCCCACAGCCATGGATGATAGCTCCGTATCTCATCACAACGGAGGGCAAGTGGGATCTCAAATCGGAGTTAGTGTAAATAACAAACAAAACGACGAACCTAGTCAAAGTGTCCAGTATTCAATACCGGGAATTTTGCATTTTATTCAACATGAATGGGCGAGATTCGAGCTGGAGAGATCACAATGGGAGGTGGATAGAGCAGAATTTAAGGTGATTTTTTTGTTTTTTTTTTTGTAATATTGCGTGTAAGAATTTATAATTTTCATTACCTGCTATTTCGTAGATTCTTTTATTTTTACGTTTTCAGATTCATGCTCAATTGGTTACTCCAAAACAAATTAAATGTTTTTAGTTGTTAATCATATGTATCTTTTGTAGTAATAGTGTAATTGCGTACAAAAGCTATGGTTCTTAAATAGACTCAGGCAAAATACCAATTTTGTGTATTATTTTGTTGGTTTTAAGTCTAATGTTCAAAATCCTAGTGAATATTTAATGAAATTACTTTGTTTAGATTTTAGTTAATGCCTCAAATGCTATGGATTTTATTTTCCTATAAGGATCTTTATTATGTTGATACTATTATTTCAGTTGAAATCTTTTTTAAATATTTTTCATTTAAGAAGTCTTAGGTTAATTACATATCCAATGAAACATTATATTGTTACATATGTTAAATTCTAGTCAAACCATATTTGTAACTTTCTGAGTTCAACAACTGAACGCTAGATTCAGAATTATTATATTATTTTAATGTGATTTGGTAGAGTAAATATCTTAATTTTACATGTATATTATAATACATAATTAGATCAGGTTGAATTATTATCTAAAAAATAACTAGGCATTGAGGTGACCATTGTAACTTACTTATTGGATCCTTAATTGTATTACATACATTAAATATGTATTTCTATGTTTATGCTTTTCATGTGATTTATTTATATCAAATAGATGAAATATGCACATTTTGCTCTATGCTCAATAGTATCTTAATATTTACCATTGGTAAATATATGACACATGTGTGCTAGTCACTAGTATTGACTGTCTCTGTCATCATCTGTGATGATGTTCGCGTGGTAAAAGAATAAGACAAAAACACTTACAATAAAGACTAAATTAATTAACTAAGTAATATTTTTGTACTGTTTAACTATAAATAATATTGGATGTATGTTTACCAAACACACTTAATCAAAATCATGCCTGTATGATTCAAAGGTTATAACAGTATCTATGACATCACAAATGCATTATACACAAATTGCTTTTAAGCTTTGCAAAGTGTTGTGAAAGCTAGTTTAGTTTTTTAGGTTTCACCATTTCAGGAACCACATTTTTTATGTTATTATCATGGCATGCAAACTAGTTTTTAAAATTTACACTGAACTATTTAAAGAGCATGAAGTATAGTATAATTCAACGCCATCTATAGAAGTGAAGTGTAAACTTTACTAGAATTTGGGCTTATTAGATATGAAATTGCCCTGGTATGTAGTATGTAATGTAGTTAAAGAATAATTTAATATTTTAAAACAACTTTTTTCTCAGTTGATTGTAGATGAGCTTACAATTAGTATTCCTATTTCTCTCATAGCTTTTTACTTAGAAATGGGTATAAGAAAAAGTCTTGACTGTCACCAGTATTAACCGGGTCATTAAAAAGTAAAGTCGGGTTAATGTTTCCTGTCATTCGGTGTTTTGTAATCCTTAAATTGTCCCACTTTCCAATATTGTCTATAAAAACTATTTTGAAAACAAAGCTTTAATCTTAACATACCTACATTTTTCCTTTAAATTTTTGTTAGTTGTATGCAAATTCAGTAATGTCTTTTGTGTAGTAACAGTTACAAACTTGAATTTATATACATTCTTTATAAAAAATAACAAGAATTTGCATGATGCTTCAGCGCCCTTTGTAAAAGGTATTGTTCATTACATTATCTTAAGGAGAGGTAATGCAAAAGCAGCATAACAGTTAAACAATAACATACCAACAATAATTTTGATACCTATGTAAATGTTATTTAAACTATTGTATCATTAATATTTTGAAGTCATGTCTATTAGCAAATTACTAAATGTTTTGATAAAACTTTTATTGAAATTGAATTTATGTACTTATGAATTTTGGCATGTCGAGACATACAACCTATGCATCTGTTACAAAAAAGAAAAACTATGTCAGCAGCTTTTCCCCAGTGAAGAAGCGGAAAAACATCAACCTGCTAGATGAAGACAAGTTGCAATGTAAACTGTAGTGTTCTCCAACAAGATATGTTGAGCGATGGAAGTGCTTGAATCCTGATTAAGCCTAGGCCTATTCTGCCATAGCCAACAAGAGTGTTGCAACATTAGTTATATTAATTAAAACACCCTTTTTAATTGACTGTCTAATGAACCTACTTATCTTACCTGTATATTTAAGACACTACTGAGTCCACAACATAAGTTGCCTTTGTAATATTATTGACCTATAATCAGGTATAGTAACTATACTATAACTGAAGTTTATAACTGTATCTCCACACTAAAGAAGACCTATCTAAATGACTACATTTAGATAGGTCTTCTTTAGTGTGCAGATTGAATCTCTTCAGTACTGCTGTATTATAAAAGAAATAGGATAATGAAAGAAGTAAAGGTAAACTACTGCAAGACAATAAAGACTATTACCTAAACATATGAGTCCATATTTGGTAATTTCGTAATAGATATCTTTACATAGTATAAAATGAAGTAACTTTTTATGTAAAACTTGAATTATGAAACTTTCAAGTAGTAAATATTTTTTTAGTTTAGACAGTTTTAATACGTATTTTTTTCGTAAATACATTCATTTATTGCATAGAAACACCAATAGTTGCTAATAGATGTAATCTGTCATTAGATGACAGACACATTAGATCAAGCACCTCTACACCTTCAGGTATCGCAGAGTGCACTGCAACCTAAAACATAAAAAGCTGATGTTACGCCTTCTGAAGCAATATAGTATTCCTCCTATATCAGGAATCAAAATAAAGTATTGTGTATGCAACTTTTAAAGTCAGATGAAATCAGTAATATTTGTAAAATGGACAGCACGAATGGTGTAGTGGTTTAAGCGGTCGCTACGCCGCTTACTACTACGTTGAGTGTTGTAGGTTTGATCCCCACATGGGATGATACTTTCTGTGATCCACAAATTGTCGTTCTGAGTCTGGGTGCTCTTTGTGTCCGTTTGTAAAGTCCTCCCGCATTAGGATATGATCTAAAAAATCGTACACATACGTAATATACGTACACACGTAATCAAAACATTTACTTAATTTAAAAGTTAATGTGAACAAATTATAATATATTCATAGTATATCTATAATGTAATGTCTAGTTATGTAAACTTAAGAAGAGAAAATGAGATTTGTTTCAACACTACCACATTTCTTAGTATAAAGCTTTCACTATTTTGTGCCAATGAATATAAGGGTATTCCTTTGTAAATAAATATGCAGGTTTATTTGTATTATTTCATTATGCATGATTCATTGTCAAGAAATATGCATCTGTTTACATGTTTTTTTTGTTGTTTACACTGTATTATATAAGTGATTTTAAATAGTAAAGAGTTTGTTTGAAAATGAAGAGTGAATACCACAATGTACCTCATCATCATCATCAACAGCTTTTAATAATCCACTGCTGGATATAAGCCTCTCCTTAGAAAGGAGGTTTACCACAATGTATCTATTACATCTTTAAACCACTCTTTGATATTTTATAAACATGGATTCAGGGTATTTATATTTTTCTTTTAATTATTAGATCACAGCTTTATTTTGCATAAATGAACATATTTATTTGTTTCCTTCCGCAGGCACGTATCGCCTTCCTTGAAGGCGAACGAAAGGGGCAAGAGAATCTGAAGAATGACCTTGTAAGGCGAATCAAGATGCTTGAATATGCGCTTAAGCAGGAAAGGGCGAAGTTCCACAAGCTCAAATACGGTGTTGAGCTACAACAGGGCGATGTCCGCCCGCCACCAGAGGAGCCAACTTCGGAGCCTGAACACGCTGAACGCGCGCAGTGGAAGCAAGGCCGCCAGCTCATAAAACAGTACCTGCAAGTATGTATTACAATACTATAAGTATAACTTGTTGTTGTTATCAAATAAATTTGAAGACGATTATTTAAATGATAATTAACTAATTGAACACAGCTTATGTGAATGTGAGTTACGCTTAAGGTTGTTAGTGCTTAAATATACGTTTCCTATTACGTAGGCATATAGAATTTAGTTTGTATATAGCAAATTAATAAAACAAATTAAAAATAACAAAATTGAAGACCACAAAGAGTTATAAACTTAAATATTTTACAGTAACAAATATAAATAAAAGTAAAATAGCTAATAACCAAAACAGTCTACATGAGATCGTTTTGGTTATTGTTTATTTTAGATTAGACACTTGAAGCAAAATCTTTTCATCAGACACCCAAAGTTCACTCTAAATATAATACATTTTCTTAATTAGTAATAGACAGAAATGGTATTTCCTAGTATTCATGAATATGTACTTAACGAATTTTACAGGAAATAGGTTACACAGATACCATTCTTGATGTACGTTCGAACAGAGTACGCGCATTGCTTGGTTTGAACAATGAGGAAATTGAGAACCCTAACTACAGAAACTATGACAAGCAACAGCACGACAGATGTGATTACTCTATGAATCACATGGTCCGAAAATATGATTATGGTATGTATTAATGTATATGCATCCTGATCTACTATAGATAAAAATGAGTTACTACTAAAATACTTGATAAGTTATTACTTTATTACAAATAGGATATTTACCACGTTCATTTTTAACAATTTGTTGTCGATATTTCGCCACTGTAGCAAGCGCCGTGATCACTGATGAAAATAAACCTAGTACATGTCCCGTTTGCAATTATTCAATTTTCTATTAAACTCATAAAATTTCACGAAATTCGTTGAGTAGACCGTCAATCTAATGGTTTAAAATTTAGACATTTCTTTTAATACAAAAGTGTTTTATAGGTATTAAAAAATACAAAAATAGAATGAGCTACATCGAGTTGTGGCTGGGATTGGCCAGTGTGATATGATAAAATGTGTGTTATTATGGTAGGTGGCAAAGAAGCGCGTAAAAGTACGGGCGGAGGCGGATATAACGAGGAAGGCCTCTCAGTTCAAGAAACAGCGGCTGTCTTCGCCAATTTTGAATTTCTAACAAACCAAGAGATGGACATGGATGAGATAGACGATCTCGATGCCAAACAATCACACCACATTTGTAGCAAAAAAGGTAGAAAAAAGATCCATTTCATAATTGACCCAATTTGATTTTGACAACAATATATTTGTTTCAATGTTAATTTGCATCTGTTAAATCATTTACCTTCACATGTAAAAGCTATTTAAGATTGAAACAGTAAAATTCAACTCCTGAAATTAATTTTTGTCGTTTTATAATCTTTTCAAATGTTCAAAATATTTTTTATTTTCCGGAATGAAGGCGAGGACCTCGACCTTGAAGCTGAAGAGGTCCTGAATGAGCTGAGTTTGATCACAGAAAGAGAAGCTGATGGCGGTGGCCAAGGCGACGAATATCCCGTCGGTTAGTAGTCGTGTGCAAACATGTCAAAGGGCGATTGGAGCTAATGGCAAAAGTTCAAGAACCGATTGAATATAAGTTGCAACTCTCGACAATTATCGATTAACCGATGCCATACCGACCAGTCCCTAATGTCTATTAACAATGCTGTGTAATTGCAGGTTACATAAATCGCTTACGTAAATGAGGTACAAGGTGGGTTCGAGTCGTATACTGCCTAGAGGCAGTTTACGACTCAACTCCCATCGTTAACAAATTTCAGTAAAAATACTAGTACAGGGACGGCGTGAGCGGTATTGAGAAGGTGCAGGGTTTTCCAATAGCACATACAAAAGACGCTACGTGTCGCAGGCGGGAGCGCGGGCGGCGCGGGCGCGGGGGCGGCGGCGGGCGCGGGCGCGGGCGAGGCCGACGAGGAGCCGCTGGCGCTGGGCGAGCTGGCGCAGCTCACCGTCAGCAACGAGCCCGAGGCGTACGACGTCGCCAGCGCTAACAAGGAGTCCTTCCGCAAGACCTGGAATGCCAAATATACGTTGCGTTCGCATTTCGACGGAGTAAGTATATTTTTTTACTTTTAGTGGGGCTCTTTTTCCGTTCCTTTTTTCCTTTGCGTTGACTCTTGGCCTTTATTTCAACGCCATTTAATAATTTCGCTCTCGACTCGTATGTTTCGCCATGTGCCGCCCCGTCGTCTGTTTTTCGGCAGAGTGAGTGTGAAATGGCACGGGCCTCTCCGGTAATGAACGAGAACAGAGGCTGTCTAAGCTATGAGAAAGATAACCTAAAAATAGAACATGGATTAAACGAAGGATAAGCCTGATAAAATCAAAATAAACGTGTTCAAAACTACAATAATTAATTCTAAACAAATCAATTATCTTATCACAACAAAAAATAAAAAACAATTATAAGAATAAAGTTAATTTGAAATAATAATTTTAATGTAAAAAATAGCAAAAGACTAGGCTTTACCACGAACAAACTAAACAAATCCTTCTCGATGTAGTAAAATTACTTAAATAATAAAGGTATACATCGCTGCGATTCCAGGTGCGGGCGTTGGCGTTCCATCCCACCGAGGCGGCGTTGGTCACGGCGTCCGAAGACCACACGTTAAAGCTGTGGAACCTGCAACGCACGGTGCCCGCCAAGAAGTCCGCCGGGCTCGACGTAGAGCCGCTGTACACCTTCCGCGCTCACACCGCGCCCGTACTGTGCCTCGCTATGGGTGCACCGCGCTCCGAGGAGTGCTTCTCGGGCGGCCTCGACGGCACCATCCGCGTCTGGAACCTGCCGCCTCCCACTGCCGACCCCTACGATCCCTACGACCCTGCGGTCCAGGTGCGCTCTCCACTGGTACCTTTTCGATCTCGAATATTCAGTAGTTCAACTCTAGTGTTACCTCGTTTTGTTATTCTTGACTCGACTTTATCATTTTACCTCGTCCATGCGTTACGGTAATATAAATAGGCGTGCGCGCGAGCGCGAGCACGGCCACGGTGTAAATCGAGTTATATGCCACAGGGCGCGGTGCTCCGCGACCACACGGACGCGGTGTGGTCGCTGGCGGCCGCGCACGGGCGGCTGCTGTCGGCGTCGGGCGACGGCACGGTGCGGCTGTGGGCGCCCCGCGCGGCGCGGCCGCTGCTGGCCACGCTGCGCGCGGACGAGTCGCCCAGCGCGCCCGCGCCCGCCGCCGCCGACTTCGCCGACGCGGCCGCGCGCGCCGCGGTCGCCTACCGCGACGGCTCCCTGCTGCTGTACGACCTCGAGACCGGCCAGGTGGGTACCGGGTGGGTGGGCGTGTCGCGCCGTGGCTCCCGTGCTGAGCGCTGGGTCGGTTGCAGGCGGTGCTGCGCGCGGGCTGCGAGGCGGGCGCGACGCGCGTGCGCGCGCACCCGACGCTGCCGCTGCTGGTGACGGCGCACGAGGACCGCCACATCCGCTTCTGGGACGCGGTGTCGGGCCGCTGCGCGCACGCCATGGTGGCGCACCTGGACGCCGTCACGGGGCTGGCGCTGGACCCCAACGGGCTGTTCCTGCTGTCGGGCTCGCACGACTGCTCCGTGCGCCTGTGGAACCTCGACACGAAGACGTGCGTGCAGGAGATCACGGCGCACCGCAAGAAGTTCGACGAGAGCATCCTGGACGTGGCGTTCCACCCGCTGCGGCCGTACATCGCGAGCGCGGGCGCGGACGGGCTCGCCAAGGTGTTCGTGTGAGCGCCCGCGACTATATATATATAGTATATATATTACATGTAATTTTACTTTCGATACGAACTTTATGTAACGCAGTAGCGAGTCGCGTCGTCGCTCGTAGAGAGCGGCGGGTACTTTTGGGTTATGTGTCTAGTCCCTTCGGTACGGTTACGAGTAGCGACGTACTGCGATTCGACGACGGCCGTGTGTACGGAGGCGCGCCGGCTCGTTTTATCGTATTTAAATATTGTAACGTAATGGACGCGCGCTCGACGCTCGTTATAAGCGCGTAGTGAACACTCATTTATGTATAGACATTTGAAATTTATTATAATATATTTTTAGACTTTCAGTATGTGGATTTTAGGTTTTTATCGCGACTTTTTCACCGATTTTACTATACGCAGTGAGAATATTGTTCGTTTCTATGCATCTGTAAGCGACCTTATAATAAATATCATATGGACACCGACGATGTTTCCTTGATATGTTCGTTATTTTTACGTGTCTGTACAGTTAGAATGTTATGCAGTATTTGCTACTTTTTTGCAGAGAACGAATGGTGTTTCTTAGCTAGATTATTTTTATTTAAATCGATTGGATTTCTATAGATAATATTTTTTGTTTTGTGACATGTAATACGTTAACTTGCTCTCATGGTATTGAATGACGAGCTCTCGAACAAAAATAATGATTGAGTAGAACTACTATATCGAGAATAACATAAGTAATGTTTGTTCATAACGAGTACTGCAATGTAGAGTATATATATTATGAAACATTACATATTCCTTTATTTTCCTCGAACTCATACTTGTACACATACATCCAAAATTGATAGTAAAAAGCAACATAACCGATTTGCATGTTGTTTTTTTAAACTTTGTTGTTTTTCTTCCCTTCATCCCTATTTTAATATTATAAATAGTAAATAAGATTTTTATTGACTGAATAACCTTACTTGAAAAACGAACCTCTTGGGAGATGATCTTACTTTCATAAATACTCAAATCATGCTATATATAATCTCATTTGTTGCATTATGTACATTTTTTCAATTTATAACGATTCATTAAAGTCGGTTCATTGATTTGAGAGTTTTAATGATAAACAATACACTTTGTGAGTGATAGAAATACAACCTTTTAATTTATACAGATAATTATACATTTTCTATTCGTTTATTTTCTTTTGACTATTTAGTAGACATGTACAGAAGCATAATTGTGTCAGAGTTCGTGTAGTAGTGATACTATAACGAAAACGCGACGAGATAAAATATAATATCTTTTTTTTATTATTCTTCGTAATCATTATGATACTAGTAAATGTACTAGGTAAATGTGTACCATTTTGATACTGTAATGCTAAATGATACTAATTGTTATATTTTACATATTATTATGTAGATATCATATGTTAGGTCTCATTGGTGAAACAGTTGTTTCCTGGCGTTCTAATGTTTACCATCTGTTCAGTGGTGACTGACATATAAATATGCAATACGCAATAACCATAACACGTGGTTATAAAAGTAATTATAACAATGAATTCAATCAGATAATTCTGGAGGTATTTCTACCTTCATTTTGAATGCAAAACCTGTTTGATTTTTAGCCGTCGCGTCGCCATGTCAGTCGGGATGCACACTTGACAAGAAAATGTGTGATAGTGTTCCGGTGTTTAAATATATTTGTAAATTTCCTCGTAATATGTTTGTAATTAATAATCCCTGATGCTAAAATTTTTGCTGAAAAAAAAAAAGCCGTGTGGTGTCGTGGGACACCCGATATGAACGAAGTTGTGACGATCGAGTAAAACTGATTCGACAAGATTTAAATTACAACGCCATCTATGAAAGCGGTTATTACCTACATATTTTTCAGTTGGTTTCTAATTAAAACAATTTATACATTGGTAAAATCTCCTTGAGAAATGATTTCCTATCTATTCGATAGATTGCGCTGAATGACTGACAAGTGACAATTCAAAATAAATACTGAGATGAAAAGTAATGATTTCCTATCTATTCGATAGATGGCGCTGAATGACTGACATAAAAAGTGTCGTTACAACTTTTCATGAATTTTTTTCCGTCTAGCCCCCTTTCACAACGCGCGATAAGGAACTTCGTTCCAAAAACATTTGTCTTCGATATTAGGAATGATTGGAATGCATTTGAAGATTGTTTACTGAAAGTTGGTAAGTTTGTATCTTATATTATGACATGTTCTGTCATTCATTTACATTAACCGCAGTGTCATGCTGTAAGCTATAACCCGGCAATCTCGTGCGCGACAGTCCCGCGGGGTGACGACAGTGGCGGGGGCGAGGTAGCGCGTCATTCTAGCACACGGCTACACACGCAGAGAAGTGTGCCAGGATAAATCTTGCGATAAGTTGTACTTACTTGTGACGTAATATAGGAGTAAATAAAAAGATAGAACTACTTTTATTGTTTATATTTTTTTATTATGCTTGAGGACAAATTATTAGGAAAACTAAAATTATGATAGATTGTTTTATTATAAATCAATTTCCATATCACTTTCATGTTCACTCTCTGTTTGATCTTCTTCATCACTTTCGTCGTCATCATCATCGTCGTTTTCATTGCGTTGAATTATGAATCTAAAAAGATAAACATGTACTATAGAAATAACAAACAACTTGACATACAATGACCTGAATCCGAGAATTATAGTTTGAGCATTTTGAGCAATTATAGCCCAGTTAAAGCAATAATAATAATCGATTATGTTAATAAACGATAACGTACCTGTCCATTTCATCGTCACATACTCTATCTGAATTATAATATTATATAATATATAATATAATATTATTATTATTATTATTATTATTATTATTATTAATTTTGTACTGTTTCTCAGTGTTTTGATCATTAATTATTTTCATTAGATCACATTATCATACTGAACACCTCGCCGTTCTAACCACTGCTGCATTTCGCTTTTCAGGGTACTCATTATAGGTTTTTTTATCGATCTGAGTGCTATGGTAAGCGGCGTTGTCCATTACAATAACAGAATTCGGAGGAATGTTTGGTACCTAACAGTTTTCCATCAATCAAACTTTCGAAAATTTGTGGCATTCATGTCTCCATGATAATCACCGGTCTTGGAATGCGATTTGAACATCAATAAAGCATTAAGTACAAAGCCATTACGACTGCAAGGGTGCACAATTACAATACGAGGCCCTTTACCGAAGTTTTGCATAGCCCCGCGTTCTGTATCAGACTGCCAGCATTTTTGTGTCACATGATTTTTATTCACGTAGGTTTTATCTAGGAAAATTATTGACTTACCTCTCGGCGGTATTTTTTAATGTCTCTGATGTAATGCCACCGCAGGCGCATTATGTCGTGACGTTCAATTAATAGTTTCCTCTTTGACTGGCATGTTAAATATTTGAAATCAAGCCTACGTATTGTCCGTCTCAAGTATTCACGTGAGCAATGAAGTATATTGTCTTGTTTCAATGCCGCATTCAACTTCTTCAACGACGGGATACATTTTTTGACAGTATACCATTGTGTAATTTTTCTTCGTATGACACCTTCCGTAAAATTGTCGATTTCAATCCTTTTTTTAGGAAAACGGTTTTTCCGTGGTGATTTGAAAGTCGCTGTGCTGTCTTGTGCTTCCATGATTCTAGCTTCTTTTATAATTTTTTTAACGCTGGTTTCAGACAAACCTGTGGCTTCAGCAACAGTTTTTGCTAAATTAATGTCGTTTGCGTATTCGGCCGATGTTCGGTCATTTTTTCGCCTTTCAAAAAATTGGTACACTTTATGTACAACTTCCTTAAGTTGTCTTGAGATAGCCTTACTCATTCTCAGAGCTTAATCTCGTGTTAGTAGAACTCTAAGTCGTACGGAATATCAAGCACGTGTGGCCGCTTCGACTGCGCGGCCGAGACCGCCGTATTTGACGCGCAGATGCACGCGTTTCCCTTCCCCGCTACACCACCCGCTACCCGCTGACATCTTGAGTACCTCGTCCCCGCCACCGTCTGTCACCCCGCAGGACGGTCGCGCACGACGTTGATGGACTATAACTACAGTCTACTCAAGAACAAATTACATTAAAGTGGAGTATATCAACGTTTAGTCCAGAAACTTGTAGAACAAAAATGATTTAGGGAATGGTTGGTCAAGTATAAAAATTATTTTGACTCGTCAAACGATTTTTTATTACACATTTTTGTTTAAACTTGGCAGAACTAAGTAGTCCAAGTATATAATAGTTTTTGCAATAATATATTTCAATAACACTGTTAGAAAAGTGGTTGGGACTATAGGTGTAAAATAACCCATTTATAACGTTTGAAATAAAATCTGAAATTATTTGGATTCCAAGTCATCAAGGGATAGTTTGTAATGAAAAAGCAGATCATGAAGCAAGGTAAGCAATAAATCAAAACTAGAATTGGCCTACAAATAAATAAACTCCAGACAAATTACAAAAATACTTTAAACATAAAATTAAATCTACTGAAAAACAGAAAATACATCAAACTTAAAAGGAAGTCTATTTTTGATGAATCCCCAATGATCGTCACCCGTTTACGTATCAGAAACTCAAATATGACACATATTCATCTAATTACTAAAACCGAAAGAAATAAATGCAACTGTGGACTAGGTTTAACTGTCAAGGATTCGTTAGAGGAATGCACAGCTTATTGTAGTGAGAAAAAGTTATGTAACATTCCAAATAATTTACAAGACTGTTTAAATCAAAATGGATGTATGCAAACTTTAAGTTTTCTGAAAATGATCAATGCCTATAACCTAGTGTAAACTAGTGTTGTTATATATGTATACCTATTGTTAATCGTGGTCGCTACTGACCTGAGATGTTAAAAAGCGACCTTAAATTAAAAAAAACACGTTCTAAATCGAAAAAATGGTTTATTTCGGTTTCAAACGGTTTTTTTTCCTTTTAAACGGATTGGTTTTAATCCGGCCTTATATCTATAGTTGGGACTATAGA